CGACACACGTGGAGAAACACCATACTCAGAGAGAGAATAGACAAAGTAAGACCACAGTGATATAGAAGGAAGTGAGAAATGTGAGGCATAAAAAGGGCGAGAAAAAAAGACAACGTACGTACGATGGCACACAAATATACGAGAGAAATTAAATAAGAATGCATAGTAGCAAACAATATCTAACACACACAAAAATAATATAACATAAAAGAAGTTATAGTTCGGTGAATAATAACGAAATAAAAATTTAACATAACTAAAACACAACCTCCTATAAACCCCGGCTCTCTACGGAGTCCTATGACTTTAGGCATATACACATTTAGAAAAAAAGGAGCAGACTAAACAATAAGAAAGTTTATTGTGGTCACATACGAATGGAGTGGTTCATTAGTCGTTAATAGGAACAAAAAATAACCATAAAAAAATTAATGTATATAGAGACCCATAAAAACCGCAGGCATTCTGGGACTTAAAGTTCTTTAGTTTTTATCTGGCTTTGTCGCAGCAGAGCGTGCCGCCTCCAAAACTCAAGGTCGCGTACAGGCTTCTGCTGATGTGATAAGGGTATTACGGGGTCGATAGCCAATCCTGATGTCAGGGCACGTAATTAGAAGTTCGCGACCCTAACCTACAACTTACCGTCAGGCGGTTCCTCGCTCGGAGTTTGTCGACACTTTACCTATGCTTTGGTGCGGTCTCGATCGTTTTGACCTGTAGCTTGCGGGGGGTACCCCTGATGTGTACGATACCCTAGCAGAGATGACTTGCAAAAGCAAGAAAGGGTGTTAGATCTTCACGGTCGATAATTTGTGTAACCCACAATAGTTTGACATTTTGTAATATTATTATTTACCCACTTTTTAGCAACACAGGTGATTACGCGTCGTAAGTTGATATAGGTGTGCACATGTCCGAGTACAATGATACATTAAGGATGGTGATGATTATGTCTCAATTGGATCCATAAAAATGAGGTGTATGTAAATAAACTCAATGAAACGTCTAAGACTTAATTATACACTTTGATATCTTGTTGCGGGAATTTCGTCTGAAATCACCTCCTCTTCGCGAACCTACACACTCCCTTCAAGCTCCTTCACTACACAGTTCACGGCTCTCCCGTTCAGCTCCCTGCCCCCTCTATACAACTTATCAACCCGAACTGTTCTGATTTGTACGAATAGACGTTATAACTGTACTTATCTTTGCTCATTATTTCATATAAGTAATGAGTCAATAAGAACGATGATTATCAATTAATTTCTGACATATAATACCGGAATAAACGTGTAGGGAAAAGTTCTAAAGGTCTAAAGTTGTCCAAATAACCTGTATAGTATTATGTGTTGACACATACGTCTATACTTACTTTTGTGAACCCAGTGTCCAAGAGTTGTGCCGAGTGTTCCTGTAGAATAGTATACCATACATGGTGGTGGCGTTATTTAGACAGTATAAGACTGTAAATAGTTGATAGATCGCTATTATTCTCATATTAGTCATACTACTTATATTCAATTTGCAGCAGGTGAGTGGAGGTTGAGCCGGGAGCCAGGAGTGACAGCCACCACGCACACACAAACAACACAGACAGGGGGAAACAAACAAACACAAAGGAGACGGCTGGAGCAGTACAGCCACCACAGCGTTACCTAATGCAACTCCACACTAGTCTTACGGTGCCGTGTACCGGAGGGGAGAGAGAGAGAGCAGCGAAGGGGGGGGGAGAGAGAGAAGTAATACGGTTTCCTGATAAAGCTGTGGAGAGTATGTGCTGCAGGGAGGTGGATGCACAACGCACCCAGGAACGAACGCTAGCTCCGGTCCTTTTTACTGTGGACTCGATGTCCTGACAGGCTGGTATTTGTGCAACCTGCACAAACACAATACTGCACCATGATTACAAATGGTGAAATACAATGTAAAACTACCGAAAAATACCAGCTCCTTAAAACACAACCGCTCTACTCAACGCAACTCTACTATACCCGCGGTCAGAGAGCGGAGATGTGTCCCCTGCGTGATGTAATATGACGCGTTTGACGTATGACCTTAAAAAAAGCCGTTTTTAAGAGCAGAGCTCAAAATTGCTCCTTTCCCTCTGAATTCCTGCCCTTATGTCTCGTAAAACATATCAAATCCTGCATTCACTTTTTTAATTGTAATTTTCAAGCAAGTTTAAGCATAAATGTAGAATAAATAAAAACCTGCAAGATGCTCTTTAAGGTGTCTAGATTTCACAACAGAAATGAAATATTGAATTGGCCTAAGAAGTTTTCATATATTGTTGTGACAAATCCAAAAAGCCAGATTCTTGTCATTAAACAGAATTTTGACCAAATATGTAGCAATTTTCCGCCCTTTCTGTGGACACTTTTATCCAAAGAACCCCATGAGAGCAATTATTTATTCATATGACCCATGTGGGAATGAAACCTGACCCCGACAGTGTAACTGCAATGATCCAGCTCGGAGCTGGGAAGCTGCCCCTTGTATTCTGCAGAGGCCCTGGCTCTCTGACAGGCCTTTGCCTTACATAAAGGTGAAGAGAGCAGCAGCGCAGCCACACAGGGACCACTATGATGATGGATAGATGATAGAGTGGAAAAGATAAGGTCACTGTGGTGATTTAAGGGGACGGGAGGAGGTCTTGCTTGTCTTTGTAGATTGGCCCCCAGAGCACAGGTCTGGCACTGCTCCTCCTCTGTATCATTTCCTCCCTGCTCCTTTTTCGTCTTTTTCCACCAGCCTTTTTCTTCTTTGATGACATGGGAAAGCCCACAGGTAGAAGTTGGAGTGAGGAAGGTGAGATCATGAGATAGAATAAATAGAATGGGAGGACGTGAAAGTGAAGAGAGGATGAAGAAAGGAAAACTTTGTTGCGGAATGACAGGTCCCACTAGGCGTTGTCTGGCGCTTTTTATCTGCAAACACTTTCAACCCTCCACCTGCCAGGTCGCTCCGTCACTTATCAGCCCAGATGTCGGAGCAAGAAGATGGGCAGAGAAGACGAAGGGGGGTTTTAGTGAGAGGAGAGGGTAGCAGGGTGTAAGAGAACTAATGGAACGGTTGGGTGTTTTGGGCAGAAACATGGGGGAGAGGCGAGACAGAGGACAGGTATTACAGAGTGCTGTGGAGAAGAATAAGAGGAAGGGAGGGAGGGGTCCTCCATCTCCATCAGTGGTGCAGATTCGTGAAGAAATAGAGTTGATATGTAATGCCGTCCCTTTCTGAGGAACTGAAGGCCTGAGCAGCAGACTGAGCGCAAACGAGAACATTTTGTTTTGTGTTTTGATGTTGAGGTGGAGCGCTCATCTCTCTTATTTCCGCCGTTTCAGAGCTGGTGCCCCTGCATTCTGTTGGGGATCAAATCTCTGCTGCCTGTCAACGGTTTTCTTTAAACCGTCACGCACCTTGTTTTCTCATCCCCGTTCTCTCTGTAGCTTTGTTGTCCTCTGTTCAAGCTGGTGTAGGCAATTTAAGCGTCTCTGCATGTAAACGGTTCTGCAGAGCTGTGTGCTTTAAATATATCTAAAAAAGAAACCATTTCAAACCCTTAAAATGCATGAATTCTTTTCAAAACATTTGTGCATACCATAGTTATTTTGAAACCCTCTTTATATCATGTATTAGGCTTGACGTTAAAATAACCTTGCCCTTCATGAGCAAACTTTTCTTTTCTTATTTGAGTGTCAATTTATAATATGAAAATGCGTTACCTGCTGTTACCTGCAACCTGCATACTGTGAAACAGACAAGCCATTATGTAACTCAGTCTCTTAAGACCCTTACATTTTTAAAAAAAAAACAAGTTTCGGTAGTTTTTACATTCTGATGGCAGGGATACTTTAGGGGAGTTAAAAGTGAGTTCAAGGCCCAATGTAATAGATATCGTAAAAAATGTTGTGTGTCTAAAAACCTAAAGTATGTATGGGTTCTCATATACAGTTATAGACACATTATCCTTTTCTTTTGTGCATTTGGACTGCTATATAACTATGTTATAGATGTATCTTTTTAATTTACACACACGCAACACCTATTACACGTCCGTCCTGGGAGAGGGATACCTCTGTTTTTTTCCCCATTATCTGTGGGTTTTCTTTGGGGGTTTTTCCTTGTACGATATGAAGGTCTAAGGACAGAGGGTGTCATATTCTGTACAAACTGTAAAGCCCCTGAGACAAATGTAAAACTTGTGATATTGGGCTATATAAATAAACTTTGATTGATGGTTTTCTCACCATCCCTCTCTCTTCTCATGTCTCCCAGAGCGAGTTCCCGCACATGGCCCAGTTCTCCAGCCTGTCTCCGATCCCGGGCTTCTCCTCCTGGCTCCAAGGCCTGCTCAGCCAGTACAGGAAGGAGGGTCGGGGCTCAGACCTCCTCTCGGAGCAGGAGTGGAAGGAGGTGGAGCAGGCCACCGACTCGGCCCCGGGGACCCCAGCCATGGAGGCCCTCCGCAAGCTGATCACCTCCAGTGAGGGGCTGCGTTCCGAGCGCTTGGCCCGTGTCCTGGAGCCCGTCCTGATGCGCCTTTGCGCCTGGTATCTGTACGGGGAGAAAAGGCGGGGTTACGCTCTGAACCCTGTGGCCAACTTCCACCTGCAGAACGGCGCCACCATGTGGAGGCTCAACTGGCACGCTGACACCAGCCCGAGGGGCGTGGCCAGCTCCTGCGGCATCATGGTGAACTATCGCTACTTCCTGAGCGACACGTCCAAAAACAGTGCTGTTTACCTGCAGAATAAGGTCATCACTGCTTCAGAGCAGGTGCTCGGTCTGGTGTCCCAATTTCAGAAAAACAGCAAACTGTGAGAAAGACACGAGGATACACCCAAAAACATCCATCTGTTCTGTTTGAATGCACTTTCTACCATTAATTTAACCTAATTTGTGATGTTTCAAATGTCCAAAGTGAAGAAAATCTGGTTTTGTAGCAGCACTCAATGGACAGCTGATGTTGTTTTTTTTAAGTTTCTCACATGAGGCGTCTCATCCCATCTCCTGCATGTAGTGCATAGGTTAGGCTCCCCGCCTCATCGGGTTTCTGGTTGAAGCCGTTTGATATTGTGTAAGTGCCTCCCAGGCTGAGAGACTGTAGCTAATGAAGCACGAGGCATCTATCAATGCTTTACATGTTCCCGGATAACAGTGTGTGTAATGGTGAAGCTGGAGAAATGAGGAATGCAGCTACTGGAATAAATGATGTTTAGATTCCTTCATTTGGCTCAACTGTCTCTCTGCAAACACGTTGATGAATGTGAGGGTATTGGATTCTATTTTTTCTCGGGTAGATTTTATTTACACCTGCTGTTACACTGCTTCTTGCCACTGAAGCTCAATACACAAAGGGATCAAATCACTGGCTGGAAATATTATTTCCTTTTAAATAACTCTAAACAGAACTGCATTTTTTTTCCTTCTGTGCTGCTTATATTTTACAGTAGACTCACTCATTCTGATCCACTGGGCTCAATCCCCTTGGCATCTCCATTCAAGTGATTTTCTTTTTGATAATTCTGCCTACACACACACACACACACACATACACATACACATACACATACACACACATACACACACACACACACACACCACACCCCTCAAGAGAGTCATCGCTGATGTTCTGCCTGCTCTGTACAGGTGCCAAGAAGGGCTCATATCAGCCCACACTCCATTGTTGTGAAATAATATATTACAGCAAGTTGACTGTGAAATTACATTTTATCTCTCCGAGGAGCCAAACTTTCTTAGTCAGGTTTTCTTTTTTTCACACTGTCTGTCCACCCCTCCCCCCCCCTCCTTTCTCTCCCAATGCCGATCGGTGTCCTAGAAACTAATGGAGTGGGAAATAAAGTTAAAGTAAACGACTAGATTGATGGTGTTCAGTTGTGAAGGAAAGGGGGGAGTTGAGTATAAAAGCATTTAAAGGACAGTTGTTTAAAAGGATACCCTTGACAGACAGTGTGAGGAGATATTAGGTACATAACTCACTGTGGGGGGGGGTGGTAAGAGCGTCACCGTCACGCGATCTTACAATGGACAAGCTCACTTATGGTATGGGTTGCCATGGAAACAACTATTACATATTCAGGGCTCGTTTTAAACCAACGGGAACGACCAACGGAAGTGACCACAGAGCCATTTGGGTTAAAAGTCCAGCGGTTTTTAATAATGAACTTTAAAAAAGTATATTATGTCGTACAGTGAAAGTAATTACTTTTCGATGGAAGTCGTTCAGGTGTTTCCCATAGGACTCAGAAGACAAATTACTCGCACATGGAGCAGTTACAGCCCTGAAATCTGATTAATGGACACATCAGGTCCCGCTAAATGAAATCATACAAACTTCCTCAGTGGAGGCTCAAGAGGACAAATCCTCTTTTCGTGAAGCTACTTTGAAAATGGCATTACAAATGAAAGGAATCTGAAATTACTTTTAAAATAAACGTAACAAAGACAACCTTTGATAATGTCAATCGCCTGTGATCAAACAGAAGTAAGATTGGATGGCTTTGTAGAGGCAAATGTCGCAGCATGTATTCTGATCACTGACAATTTCCACATTTGGCCAGTGTCTATTTAGACCGGTCTTCAATTGTCTCTAATCAGATTGCAGTTTTGTCACATTTCCAGGCCAGCACATGTTGATAATGGATTCACAGCCAAGTTCAATATTGTACTGCTCAGTTCCCCGACACGTCTTAGAGCCAATACTTTTCAAAAAGCAGCAGTAGACATGATTACAATTGATTAGACACTGTCTGCTGTGAAAATTCATGCCTCATCTAAAAATAATTCAGTAATTCAGACAAACCTTTTATATATTTATTTTTCCAAGATTGGGATCGCATGTGTGCGTGGCAACGGTGTATTCCATTTCTTGTCCCTCATTCGGAGGAAATTGCCTTACAAATGGAGCTAATCCATTTTTTACAAATCAGAGTGGCCGGAAAAGTCAGAGTGGTGGCTGTGGCATTTTAATCTTCTAATTTATTTTTTAAAAGGTCTGATATATAAGCTTCTGGTCAGAAGTTTTAAAGGTACAGCGGTTGATAGAAGTGCTGGATTGCATCCAGGGGCGGACTGGGAGGAGAAAGTGGCCCGGGGATTAATTGACAGACAGTCCCACTTAATGCGCGGCATGTATTGGCCGGCCGGCGACGAAAGTATGTTACTTAACAAAAAATCCTATGCATTTAATGTTATTTTGGACAATTATTTTTTGGACAATTATTCATACAGTAATCACATTACCCTGCTTCGGACTGGCGCCGACCCGTTTTTGAGGCGGTTCACAATCTTTCCCACCCCGGTAGGAAGCCGTCCGTGAAGTCGTTGTTGCAGAAGTTCGTGTGGCAGGGGCTTAAGAAGGACGTGAGGTCCTGGGTCGACTCGTGCGTGGCCTGTCAACGGGCCAAAGTCCACCGCCATACTAGGGCCCCTTTTGAACTTTTTGCAGTTCCTGAGAGGAGGTTTGACCATGTCAATGTCGACCTTGTGGGTCCGCTTCCCCCCTCTCCCCGGTTTCACCTACCTGTTTACGATGGTGGACAGGCCGACCCGCTGGCCCGAGGCCGTTCCCCTCGCCTCGACGTCAGCTTCCGACGTCGCCCGCGCTTTCATCGGCACGTGGGTGGCGCGCTTTGGGACCCCGTCTGACCTCTCCTCTGACCGCGGTTCTCAGTTCACCTTGGAGCTGTGGAACGCTGTTGCTGTGGGTTTGGGGGTCAAGCTGCACCGCATCACCGCATATCACCCCCAGGCTAACGGATTGTGTGAGCGGTTTCACCGGTCCATGAAGGCGTCACTGCGTGCCGGCTTGACAGAAGGCAACTGGGTGGATAAGCTCCCGTGGGTTATGCTCGGCCTCAGGTGTGCCCCCGGGCGCTCCTCCCTGCTGGAGACCCGTCGCAGCACAGCAACCCAGCTTTCCGGGTGTCCCCCGGATTACAGTCGTCGAATTTCGTTTTTATTCGCCACGACGCCCACCGCGGTCCCCTGCCGGCCCCCTTACGACGGTCCGTTCAGGGTCATACGTCACGGGGACAAGAGCCTGGTGGT